CCCCCCCCCCCCCCCCCAAAGCCTTCGATGCACTAAGAGCGGAGGACAGCATGACAGACCTCTTCGAACTCTTGGACGTTGATGGGAGCGGCCGCCTCACTCGCGGGGAGTTCGTGGAAGGCCTTTTGAACCTCGTCCTCATGGACGTGGCTCGGCTACGCTTTTTGGGGTTTGGGTTTGGGGGGTTTATGGTTTAGGGTGGTTTGGGTGTCTGGTCTGGGGCTTGATGATTGAGGCTCTCATGGGAGTGTGTCTAAGATGTATCTACAACGTTTTTGAAATGTGTGGACATCATCATTGCAACTAGCGGGGCGTTACAATATTTGGGGTTTCGGGCAGCTTTGGACTGAGATCTTTCATTTAGAGTTTACGATTTCGGGCTGTGAGTGTGGGGGATGGGGTTTACGGCTTGTCGCCGGTCGGTGGCCATCAGCAGAAGAAGTACGAGCACCATATACATGGGTGTTTGGGTTTATGATTGTTGTTTCGTTGGTTCGTATGCGGAGGTGTACAGTTGTTGTAAGGTGCTTGGACCCTGAGGGCTAAACGAAGCTAATGTAGTGGCCTTAAAAATTACCTATGTTATTTTGTGGGGGTTCCTTGTTATATTCCGGCCCCCCCTATTCTTGAATCGCTTCGGGGCACTGGGGGCTTTCGGTCCAAGAAGACGTGCTGAGGTGTCGCATAGTCGTTAAACCCGTACATGTTCTGATTTGGGTTGAGGGTTCAGGGTAAATGGCATGGTAAATGGCAAGGGGAAGAACAGGCGAAGCTCTGCATCAGGGCATGGCCACGAGAGTTGATGAGCATGCATCATCTTCGTCCTCCCTCATCAGCATCAGCAGCACCGCAGTCATGCCTAGCCGGGAATTCAGCGAAATCAAGCCTGGTATCGAAGGTTCCGACCCTTGCAGTGGCCCCTACTGCAGCCCTTGTAGAACCCCTTTAAACGGAATCTGTATAAAGGAGCTAAGCCCTAAAGCCTAAACCCTGAACCCTAAACCCCGAAAGCCCCACTACTCTAGTTTTGTTTCCTAAACCCTGAACCATAAACCCCAAAAGCCCTACTACTCTAGTGTTGTTTCTGGCATAGGGTCTTTTGGGGTTTGAGCAGTGAAATGAACCTGGAAGCTTGGCCCCCGGACCTGGTTGTCGCTCTAAGCGCTCAGCCGACCAATGCCATAGGGTTGAGGGTTTAGCGTTGAGGGTATAGGGTTTAGGGTATAGGGTTTAGGGTTTAGGGTATAGGGTTGAGGGTATAGGGTTTATAAGGTTTAGGGTATAGGGCTTAGGGTATAGGGTTGAGGGTATAGGGTTTTGGGGTTTAGGGTCCCAAGCCTAAACATCACATAGCCCCGAAGGGTCTCCGCGCAGGAACATCAATGAGCTGCTTACATAAACCCTTCATACACCGGTACATCCCAAATCCTAGACCTGCAATTAAGCTTTCTCCGAAACCCTAAGCCCTAAACCCTAAACCCTCTACCCCAAACCTT